CAAGCAAGTTTTCCTGCCTGCACCGCGACCATCTTCGGTGTAAGTAAAATAATCTTTAATCAACCACTAAGCGTCCGTGCCTAATTCTAGCCCGCCAGCCTGCATTCCCCAACTCGGCATGTCTGGGCTGCTGGCCACAGCCCGCCGCGCGCAGGCCCCCGAGGGCCTCGGACCGCTCCCGGCCTGCACACTTTGGAAGAAGTGTTGATATTTGTTATAAACAGGGATCCTGATTTTCCCTGATAAAAAAGCACAAATTCTCTGATAAAACCCCCAAAATCCATGATTAAAATGAAAGCCCCCCCAGCCTCCCCAGTCCTGCTGGTGCCCCTCACTCCCCACCCAGAGCACCCCAGCCCTGCTGGTGCCCCTCACTCCCCATCCACAGCCCCACAGCCCTGCTGGTGCCCCTGATTTCCTTCCCACAGCCCCTCCTGGCCCTGCTGGTACCCTTCAGTCCACAGTCCCCTGCCCCTGGCAGGAGGTGGAGGCTGCTTGCAACAGAGTGGAGCTCAGGTGCCCCTGCTGCCTGCCTGCTGAGGGCTTTGGAGGGAGGTGGGGGCTGCTTCTTGCATGGCTCTGGGTTAGACACCAGGCTGCAGAAGCACCGGGGGAGGGCAGCAAGGTGAAGAGCATGAGCCTGAAGTGGGCAGTGCACAGGCCCCGCCCCATGCACAGATCTGAGGGGCACGGGTCCCTCCTGCTGGTGGCAGCCTGCTCTTGTCCAGCTGCAGGCTGGGGCCAGCAGCCACGGGCCCCAGGCTCTTCCTGGCACTCAGGGCAGGTGACAGCCTGCAGCGGGATGAGATCAGGCTGGGGCCAGCGGCAGCACCGAGTTGTTCCTGGAGCTCGGTTGTGGCACTGGGAAAGCAGGTTGGGGGGGCTATGGCAAATTTTGGGGTGGCAGCAGCCCCCGTCCCATTGCCGTGGCCCACCCTGAGCACTGGGAAGAGTCCATTGCCAGTGCCGGTCTCAGCTTACAGCAGCTGCTGGCCCCAACCTGTTCTTGTCCCACTGCAGGCTTCCGCCCACCCTCACCGCCAAGAAGAGCCCTGTTGCAGCCCCGGGAGCAGCCAACACCGCCTGCTTGCAGCCGCTGGGCTGTGCTGCACTGCACCCCTCTCCCCAGCCTCACTCCCTCCCTCCCTTACCACTGTGGGAATGTATCCCTATTTGTTACATTCTAAACTGGATTCCCTTTATGCAAATTCGATTTATGCAGTTTTGCAGGAACGCAACCACTGCATAAATCGAGGGAAACCTATATAGTTGTATTAAGTAGACCAAAACATAACCTAGATATTTTTTATTTTTTTATACTGTGAAGAGATAAAGGCAGTTTCAGCTAATGTATCTGTTAGCTGAGTTTGTGTGTGCCAGCTTTGAAAGTGGAATTTTATTCAGAAAACAAAAACTATGAAAAAACGCAAACTAATACACTGTAGAGGAATGGGAGAGCCCATAAAATTATTTCTGTAAATATTACAGGGCTGACTAGTCCTGTTAAAAGAATATGGATTTTGCAAGAAATAAAAAGCTAGACTTAATATTGTGCTTTTGCAAGAAATCCATTTGCAGGCTGTCTCTGAAAAATCTCAGAACAACTACATTGCTTCCCAGGGCAGTCAAATACGGAATAGCTGGCAATGTTAATAGCTACATGTATCCCTTTTCTCTTAAAAAACAGGATGGTAAATGAAGAAAATAGGTATATTCCGATCAAAACACACCTAAAAGCAAAATTAACAACAGCTACTGTGTATGCTTCCAACCAGGGTCAATTGTTTTTCTTTTTAGGAAGGGGAAAGTTACCTTGGGTGGGAAGATCATGAATCTGGTCAAGACAGTTGACAGTTGTGCAAAGGAAGGCATCTGAAAGGCTAGCAAATTTATTTAAAGAGTAGGAACTAAACAATATTTGGAAAGTGAAGAACCCTAACACAGGAAGCATATTTATTATTCTGAACCACATAATACATATTCCGGATTGATATGTTCCATAGTCCCAGCACCTTGATAAATAAGGTTGTCTGACTGGCAAAGGACTGGGCAGCTTGGGTATAAGACCACGCCCTGAGAGCAGAGCCAACAATTGCAACTGAGAAACGAAAGAATGAACATCACCTGGCCAGAGAACTGCTGCTCCCAGAACACCTGGAGTTTAGGGTAAGAACTATGGGAAAGAAGGAGGCTTCTAGGGACCCAGGGGAGTCCAGAGCCCTGGGAAAGGGGCTGAGTGCCTGAGACTGTGGAAAGGCCAGCCCTTAGCAAGGGTCTGTGTATACAGAGGGCCAAGAAAGAGGCCAGGATGGCCTAATGAGAGAGAGACTGGATAATTAAGGGCCTAGAGAAGACACAAGTCAGCCTGAGAAGAAGGGCTTAGAGTTTGTGGGCCTACAGAGAGGCTAGGTAAGCCCTGATTAGAATTGTTGAGAGCATGAGCTACTGAGGAAAGGCCTAGGGAAACCCAGCGAGTGGAGCTGAATCTGGAGGGGTCTCTGGAGGGATTCAGATGAGCCCAGTGAAGTAAAGCGCTGCTTTGCCTAAGATCTGTAAGGCTGCAGGCAAGCCTGGTGTGAGATTAATGATTTATGGAGGGGCCCAGGGGGGACCCCTATTGAGTGAAAGGGTCAGCGGTTTGTGGACTGACCCAGGGCTCTCCACCAGCCCAAGCTGGGGCCAGGGCCCGAGTGGCCAAAGGGCAAGTATGCCCAACACATGGAGCAGGCCAGGATGGCAAAAAGCCCTTGCACCCCGACTGGCCAGAGAGTGCGGCCAGGCTCAAGTCAGCAAAGGTCTCTTAAGGGAGAGATCACCAGTGAAAAAGTAAGGTGGTCGGTCAGCAACCAGTCTGAAAGGATGGAGACTGAAGCTCAGCCAACCACCTGATGGGAGGTATCCTGTAAGGGGCCTGAGAGAGAGATGGGGCCAGCAACAGGGTGTCATGTTATGAGGTGGAGGCTGGAACAGAGTGGTCAGGAGTGAGCAGCCCAGGAAGAACATCAAGGAGCCCAGTGAGAGAGGAGAAGGACCAAGGCAGAGAGGCCTGCAGTGGTCCTGGCGAAGGACCTAAAACTATGCCCTGCTGAGGCTGGATGGCGTGGTGGGGCTGCCTGTGGAAGGGCAGTCTCTAGGAAATGCCACACTTGTGCCTCCTTAGTGAAAGGCGAGTATGAGGCACTGGAAAGCCTCAGTCCCCACTGCCTTGTAGGTGACCCTGTGGATGGGAAAGGCTAGGGGAGCACGCCCTGAGAGAAAAACACCAGGCTTGGGTGACAGCACTGGGGGCAGGAGAGCCTAAGGCCCAAAGCCTAAGAGTGTGAGGTCTAGTAGGAGGCCTGAATATAAGTGAGGTCCAGGCACGTTGATAGAC